TAGAGAACCGTTCCCCTTTTGAGAATCATTCTCACGATAGAGAACGAGGCATCTGTTATGGTATGAAAACTTTACAGGGAACGTTTTTCAATTATGGAACGGTTCCCTGTACCCACCCTACCCCGCTATGGTATATATATTTCCGCAGAGGCGAAATGCTACTGGCAAGACTATAAACGATTCATTCGGAATAGCGTCTCTGTTTCGATAAACAGTTGAGGTAATACGAATTGACTGACATGTGCGAAGAGGTCGTCTATAATAGTAGGTAGTTCTTCTATGTAATCGTAACCACAGCCTTTCTTATTATCGATATACGCCTACGTGTAGTTGAATAACATCAATACTATATTTTACGCGTGGTCAAGAGAGTGTAGATCTGATATTCTATTATTATACATTAAACTAGGTGCCCCAAGTCGCTTGATACTATGACTGTTTTCAGAGGTAGCTCCTTTACTATCGCCGCGACTATTTCTGACTATAATCGAGGTCTATCATGTAAGATAACATTGAAAATATATCAGCACAGCTAAAAATATCTTTTAACCCGACATCATTGGTAGCGGGACATACAACGACGACTATCATGAAGGAAATAAATTACCAGGTCTGAAGAGTGATGAAGCTAATCTCAATACTTCTATGATATTCATTCCCAATTTTCTACTTTAAACAACCACCACTCAGTCTATCATATGAGCGAAGGACAACAGGGGTTAATAGCCCAGTTTATGCTACACTAGACCTCCGGTGTATCTAGATTTCTCGCACAGCGAAAATTAACCAATTTGCGGAATACACACTTAAGCTTCAAATACCAAGAGGCGCACGATTCTTTCAAATCAAAAACAAAATTTGCAAAACGAGCGTGGTTGGTATGTACATGGTACCCATATACCTTGAAAATGCTATCAACAAGTACTATGTACACGAAAAAGTGATATATACAGTGCGGAGATTCATAGCTTATGTTGCTACTATGAGATCTTTGTTAGATGAGAGATGATGGTAATTATATGACAGTAGATACTGCCTCAAGCTCCTACAAGTCTCATCATCACCTGTGGATTTTCCTTAAGAAGAAAATCCGCCGACGGTGAGCTGCAAGACCTGCGGCTGCAGTCCGGCGACGACACCGGCTTGGTTCTCTCCATCAGGGTTGACATCGTCGTACGAGAAGGTGTAGCCCTTGCCGTCGATCTCGTGCTTGTGAAGGATGCGAGAGTAGTGGTTGGTCGGGTCCACAGTGTAGTAACTGCTACTAGGGAGAGAAGGCTGCACGTTGCCGCCGTCCAGGAGCAGAGTTGTGCGGAAGAAAGCAGCACACAGTCTAGGGACAATTGCCCTGTGAACATCGTTGTCGACGGCTTGGATGCCGAAGGGACCCGAGTTGCAGCCCCAGATATCGGCGACAGTGGGTCGAGGGTATCCGCGGTTGTCCCCAGCACAGGTGAGCTCGTCGCCGTTGACGCGGCAAGCAACGCTTCCTGCGGCAGCTTGAGTGTTGATGGTTAGATCCTCGTTAGTGTACTTCTGCCAGACCTGCTCAATGTAGTCGTCGTAGTAGGTGGCCTGGGCGGTTGGGTCGATGGACTGGTATAGGTTGGGCGCGAGGATGCGTAGCGGGTTGCCGCTGGCGTCCGTAACACACAACTTGTCCCATGGCTGACCATCAGCTGCCGCCTGATCCCTCAATTCCTGGCAGATGGCGGCGAGAGAGTCCTGCTGGAGACCCTTCACCTCTTGAGTCTCACCGGTACCAAGAGTCAAGGTCATACCCATCACTAGACCGACAAAATCAACGAAAGAGATGTTGGCGTAGATACCTCCCTCCTCGGTGTTGGTAAGTTCGACAAAACCCCAGTTGACGGCCGCTGAAGGGTCTGAAGGGTTTGCGGCGGAGGGTTCGACGAGCTGTGATGTTCCGTCTCCGGCAAGAACGGTGAAGAACTGAAGTTCACCTTCGGCGATCCAAATACGGCCGGAGCTGATATAGTCGGGTAGAGTGAACTCGGTGGTCTGTCCTTGGGCGTTCATAGGGATGGCGACGTTGCCGCTGATAGCTACTGGCACTTGACTGCCAGCAGCGTCCGGGTGATACCAAGTACCGTCGGACGAGAGCATAACGACGGCGCCGGAAGGGTCGTTACCGCTCACGTAAACATTCAGTTGCCCTCCTCCAAAGTTGTTAACAAGAGAGATCTTGAGCGGGTTATATTCTTGTATAGTCATGTTTTGGGATAGGGCGGTAAATGTGTGGTTAACAGTATTCTGTTGAGTAATAATCAGATCTCCTTTCCCTCCCGGGGTTACAACTATAGGCATGGGTGCTGCGATAGTCTGAGCAAAGAACGCCGTAGCAGAAGCTACAGCCAAGTTGAAAAAAGCACGCATGATGGATTGGTTGTATTCTGACGTCTGGCTAGAAGCAGAGTTACTTTCGATAACGATCGTTTGGTGATAATAAGGAGTGTATGCGCATCGAACTAAGGAATGGACGCCTATTGCCTGTGGCTTCAGCGAGAAGAGAGTGAACAGTTCCAAAAGAGAACCGGAAGATACTTGCTGTACACCTACGGGGTTATACTACGGAGGAGAGCATAACACGAGGAGCCGGGCCCGTCAAGAATTATATACCTACGTAACGATGTCCTAATCGTTAGTGATGCCTCTTAACTTACAAGAAACGTTACGATCCTATTCTTACTTAGTTACATCCGACCTATAGACCTTACACGGACCAAGAGGTGCACATGGCACCTCGATGACCTTCCCTTTACGTCCAAAGAGGACCTGCCAATGGCCCTGAAACTAGCCTCATGAAGAGCAATGCTGCAAGTAAGGCGAGATGGCTTTTTTTATGCATAGAGTAAGGTTTATCCATATTCTGCACTAGACTAGGGCTTTATTTCCGAAGGATGTGTAGGGGCCAGGGGGGGGATCTGGAGGTTGTTCCAAAGTTGGAGAAAAAGAGATGCTTGGGGGCTAGGATCTGAACTTTTAGTCCGCAGAACCTCCGTAGAAGCGCCTCTCTCTAACACTTTACCTTCCCTTAATTACCAAAACCAATTTCCAAACCGGTAGTCAGCCAATAGGAGGCTTAGATCGCCCACTGTAAGTATTCGCATGAACCAGCCTACTCCAACGCCTCCTACAGAAATAACCCTCCTGATTGGGGGCATGTGATATAATGATGGACTTTACGACGAGTTTCAAACTGTTGAAATTCTATCATATAGGAACTTTTAAAATCTACGCCAACTCGCTACTTTTACCGATCGTAGAATTAGGATTTACAGGGTTTTATCTAGTATATGACGCCTTAGATGCATCAATATAGAGGTTTATATAGTATAGACATGCATACTTACATATGGCCATACCTACCTCTGCCTTGACTAATTGCGGTCCGTTCAATCCTGAAGAAGAGTAGTTATCTCATCAACGTGCATTCCCCGACTCTGTGACCTACTGAAAAAAGTAGTCGTCTTAACTGCAACCATAGCGGTCTTGCCGTTTAACAGACTGGTACATTCCGAATAGCCTTTCTCGAGACTACTCGTCGGCGTTTATGTTAGGCCGAACAGAGCGCGTGATCATCAGTCAAGTAGGATCTCAGATGCAAACAATCCGATTTCAGATATTCGACCTACTGTCTATAGCAAAGTCAGCCCGATAGTGGATATGTACCTAGGTATGTATCCCATTGGGGAGGAACATGGATTATTATTTGATGAATTCTGAAAAAGAATGGTCGTTTGTCTGGCTAAAGGATGCACTCTACTACGTAGTATAGAAAAGCTCAGACTGCAGCCTCGGGAACGGCCATATCGGCGCGACATCTGAAGGCCCCTGATCCTAGTCGCTTATTTACTTACCCAGGTAGTTAGGCATAGCTCTCATCTGATGTCTTATGCGCCACCGCCATTAACTTGCCCCGCCGATCATCTCCAGATGTCTATGCTATACTGGTTTGACAAGGTTAGTTGTTATTTTATCGACCTGTCAAGTCGATTTGGATCATCATCGACAGACAGTATAGGCATACCTACCCTGACAATGGGTGAAGAGAAGCAAGCATTCAACCTCCCTCCGCCTTACTATATTTAGACACCGAGCTGTAGCTACGCTCGGTACCCACAACACACGAGTATCACCCATAGGGCGCCGCCGTATATAGGAGCTCAGTGCAACTCTGTGTGACTGGGAAGATCGTGTTGGTTTAGGTTCCCGGTTTAAAATATTTTAAGAGGTGTCTACTATGTATATGAGTGGGATTGCGGAAGTTCATTCGCTAAAAAGAAAAATCGGGACTAAGTGTGAAATCCCTTTTATCCCTCCTTAATTATTTAGTCCACGTAAGCGGGTATATCTCTTGAGATGTGTATGGGACAAGCAGGATGGTCGAAGCCACAGCACGTGAGATAATGATCGCCAACAGCCATCAGTGTTCAGGAAGGAGACGACATATAAATAAATGGCAATTCGTTTCTGCTTGTTTGACCAGTCGTGTTATTCTCCCACCAGCCCCATTCGCGATGCTACCTTGTTCCTGCAGGTGCCAGATTTTGACCTACCGAATCGAGCCTAACAAAACCAACATAACCCCTTTTCGACTTTGAAGAGTCTGTCGCGTCCGAACATAAATGAAACAAGCCTTAATCAAGTTTAGTCAGGCCAACGCCCCTTTAAAGTTTTATTGTAACTACCAACCGCCCCTAGGTATGTACGACATGTTAGTAGGCTGTTGTATACTTCCGATTGTCACATGTAGATCCGGGGCATCGTCGCAGGGGTAGACAACATGGACCGGGGTACGGAGCTAAGGCTATCGGCGGGTGGCACGGCGCCAATCATCGATCTGCCCCCCAGGGCTCAGCTTTTATCTTGAAACGGATATGTTTCAACGGGGGTAACACTATTTTCGGCCGGAGATGCGGTCGCGCCGAGCCTTCAGCTCTACTTTACGATATAACTATATGAGGACATATATGAGGACATGTATGAATTGATTCAACGCCGCACTAGTTCTTGCTCGACCAGGCACCATCACCGGCAGTTTCACTACGTCATCCGGATTAAACTGCATTTACCAAGGGCCTGGGTCGATCATTTACTTGAATCAGATATACATGTCTTACAATAAGAAACGTATTTGCTATAAAATTGATGATAGAGTATTTAGAATAGGTACCTCCCAGTATCATAACTCGTAGCCTCAATAGAGATCTTGGCTCGCCTACTTACCCCCTCCTAAAGACTAAAAATGTATTTTTATAGACTCAAAAACCTTTAACTAATCCTTCGTCAAAAAAATCCACTACATGGGGCTAAGGCTGAAAGTGATCTAACGGAAACTCGAAGGATTCTTCCTTTTACTCAAAGTGCGATGCAAGGCTACTCTTTTAGTCCTTTGAGAGAGACTAAATCCTCTTAATACGTGCCGCAACGTGGCCAAGCGGTAGATGATTTGCAGTAGTTGCAAACCAACACTCTCCTTTGGATCTCTTGGCGAAACAACCTAGTATAGCAATATGAGATTGCTAGATTGTCGTGGGGTTCGTGTTAGATGCTATTAATTACGATATCGACTTTGCCATAATATTTAACTATTAATATCTTTTATAGTCACTTCGGGAAATATTCGTTGAAGGGGCGATGTAACGGTAGCTGGACATTAGACGTCATTTCGTAGAAACCATCTCAAGGTAAAATTAGGCACAGGTAGATATCAATAATTGACACTCCACCCTGAGCTTCTTCCGAGTTATTACTACATATCAATAAGTATAGCCTAAGCAGCATATTATATGACTAGCAAGTTTAAGAAATGACTATTGTCATACTTCGTTACCGGCTTTCCTTTGCTCCTCCCGCCACTCATCCTCCAACATGCCATACACGACGTGGTCATGTCAACCGCCATTAAACCACATGGTCTCACGGTGTTTGCCTTCACTTGTAAAGCCCAGTCTTTCATACAACCTCATAGCACCCGTATTAAACGAGAATGTCCCAATCGAGATGCGATGCAAGCCCGCCATCTGGAAACCATACCACAGCGCCCATCGAATAGCCTCACCACCGTATCCCCGCCCACGGTACTCTTTCGCGATATCAATACTGATATCTGAACTTCTATGATGTGCATGACTTGGTGGGTTGGCTTTGAGACAAATGATACCGATAGGTAGAGTTTCCTCGTCCTTCTCGGCGAGGCGTGTGACTAGTAGGCAGATAATAGCACCGAGGAGACATTTTTCGATATGATTCTTAAATTCCGTGCTCGCCTTTGTGCTTTCGGGTCTCAGGAGAGCGTAGCTGGAGCCGGATTGAGCCTCTGCGTCCCGCCGAATTGAGTGGATAAAAGCTATATCTGGCGGTTCGTCGTTAACAGCGCGGTATACAAGACGCTCCGAATGGAATGGATCGAAAGGTCGCGTTTCGGGCATCTTCTACCAAGAAATCTCGAGGCTGTATAAGGTAGTTAATATATACCTAGTTATGATATTGTAGAGTGATGAATTTTCACCTGTGATTTTTGGTAATCCAGCCGTGTCTTTTATATGTAAGCGTGATAGACACAACAAGTAGCGGGGCCCTGGGCCTGGAAGTTCCCACGATGCCTATTTTGTCTCGCCGAAATCATAGCATGACTGCATGTAACTTACCTACCTAGGTGCCTCCCAGCCTTGTTGGACCTTAGGTGTCACCCAGGGATTTCGGAAAGTAATAGGCAGCCAGTCAATGAGCAAAGGAAGGGGTACTTGCATATGCAGTAGGACAACGTAGTAGAGAATATGTCGAGACACGCAATGTAAATCTCACCTTATTCTAATATTTGCGATAGTAAATAATCAAATCACTCTCTGAAAGGATGTACGTATATAATTTGTATGGGAGGTAGTGATATGAATCCTGAGACAAGCACCCTGCTTATAACCCAAGAACAAGGTCTATTTCATTCCTAGCGGACATTGAAATCCAATTTCAACCTATCATTGCTATATACAGCCGTGGCGGAAATCTCAATTCGCTATTTGAATTGGAATAGCTGTAGATACCGTTAGATCATATTTACTTTTACCCATTTGATTATCCAGCAACTATGAAGTAAGAAAATAAGGAGACGAGAAAAAAGGGTTAGGGGGTAACTAACCTTGTTCTTGTTCTTGGTGATTGGTCCGAATGAAATTTCTGATGTATCCTCGAAACTCTGGGGGTCTTCTTCTAACAGCTCGAGGTCTCCCTCGTCAAGAAATTCCATTTCCATCTGTACTTGCTTCCAACCATTTCCCTCCTGTGTTTGTATTTCAAACGGCTTCTCTGGCTTTATAATCAGCCCGGGGAGCTTGACTTCGCACTGTGAATTAAAGCGGTTCGAGCGCGAGACTTTGTTCTTCTTAGGATCCCATCGCACCCAAGGAGATGTAACGCTGGTAGGCCAGGTATCCTTAACGTCAAGGCCTACTGGCCTCAGAAGAAATCCGTAGCCAGCATTTGAATCTTTGGCGGTTGGTCTTGCCGCCACAGGTACAACATCAAATAATGTTTCCACCCGACCAGGTTTGCCTACCCGGACTCGACCCTCGTTAGGTGCGGTGGTGTTCTCCTGTGGCAGGTGAAGATGCATACTGTATGTTGAAGGGTTACAGCAATGAAGTGATTTTCCATGCCAACCAACATTAAGCCATTTAAATATGTCGCGCCATATATTGCTGATTTATGAATCATTCTGTGTCAGCTTTACAATTCTATAATTCTAGGATCTTCGCCGTCACTTTTAAGTCGAAATGATAGGTCTATTACACTTACTACTGAGCGTCAGTCACTGCATACCTTACGAAGGTAGTGTAGATACCATTCTATAATGGGGGGTTTGAAAGCAACGACAGGGTACTTTTTATACATACCAGATTCACGCGGGTTCCCCTATTGCCTGCGGTCTCCTTCGCTTCTCCGTAAGTGCTTGGGTATGAATATGTTAGTATCTAGGTTGCCAAGGACTACAGACGTAGTAAAACAACTCCCAATAGGTTAAATAGGTACAATAGCATCGAGGGGAAAGGAGGAATAAGCCTCAGGAAAAGAAGGAAATAATCTAAACGGTGATAGCAAACTTACTGAATCGCTACAATCATCTCAACCCCACGAAACCCCACCCAGACAGGTCCACCGCTCATCCCCGGTTTAGTACCAGCATCGTAACGAAGTTGATGCAAGTTTGTCCCAATACATCTGCCCTCCGACCTCCGCGGCGATTTATCAGGCGGTGAGTCTTCGGGTGTATATCCGCAGACATACACCATATGATCCTGAAGAATGTCCTTGTCTTCATCTTCGGTATAAGCTGCGCCTTTTCCTAGTTGTGGTGGAAGGCCTAGCATAAGATGAAATCCAAAGCCACGATGTCGCTTAGATGGGGGTCGTTTCAGGAGGATAGCACCGTAGTCGTAGATTTCATTTAGCTCATCAGGATCATCAAAATACTTCCGGCAAACACGAATCATTTCCGGTTTTACATCAATATCCCGTTTTTCGAAAGGGTCTTGGACAATCTTAATATTAGAGCAGTAGTGTTGTGGTTTGTCAACGAGGTTGTGCCCAGCTGTGAGGATTATATCGTAGGAGGCGTTAGGAACATTGACATAGAAGCCATTACCATGTTTTTCGCCTTTACCAGTCCATACCGAATTCTTGCGTCAGCTCTCACAAATCTAAAGACATTTACAACATTATGTATTTACTCACTACCAAGCTTCTCAAAGGTCAGTTTAACCACCCAAGTTTCCCACCGGCGTGCTGGTGTAGACAAGTCTATTCCAAAACTCTCGGTTACACATGTCTCATCTCTTCGTTGAGTGGAATGCCAGTATGGTACAGGGACCTGGTAGTTTTCTAGATCGAAATCCATGAAGTCCCGCAGTTTTTCGTTTCCCATTGCTATGTAAATAGCAAGATCTCGGCTTTTTTGTAGTTAAAATCGTACTAGATTTGATATTGATATTAGAAATTTGTAGGCACAAGTAAACAGGTAGGTAGGTACCTACCTAAGGTAGGATAATTCGTCTGAATACTAAGGGGAAATATCAACTTAATAATGGGTGTGTTAGGCTTGATCTTTACACATGTGATCCAACTCTGCTTATGTCTAACTTCGTGGCATTCTACCACCTCCTAACGATCCAACTAACGCTGCATGCGTTCAGGTACACCAACTTGCATAGCCAATTCTATTACACCAATAGAATTTACACACCTCTATTAGCTTGGCAATATTAATTATAGTAATCTCGCTGATCGGGGCCACGGGGTAATACTATCCTCAAATCAAATGAACTGGATAATTCGTCATCATTTCAGTATCTGTGTCTACACCGGGGAACTAATTGTTACAAATCTAGTAAACATAAGTTCCAACTTTACAATATCAATACCAAATGACTATCTTTCTCTTATAAACCTTGACTTTCCGAGCTCCTCTCCATTTAACCTTCCATCCAGCCTGCGCCCTGCCTGAAGGAACAAGTTTGCCATCACCATTCACCTCGCCCAAGAATGTCTTCTCTTTTTCTCCACTGACATTCCACAAGGAACCATCAGTAAGGAAGTAGCTCTGGAGAGATCCAGTTTCGAGGTCTTCGGCAACGCTAAAATTATCGATAACAGTGCTGAACTTGGTGTTTTCAAGCACGTTGGCTAACGGAATAACCCCCTCTGGTTAGCAGAAGTACTTCAACATCAGGATATCGAGGGTTTCATTTCGAGTTCTCACCTTGCCAGCTGCCGGTACTAGAGTTGAAAACGAGGTAACCAATCCCGGATCCCTTCTCCACGTAGAAGAGATGAAGCTTATCGTTAATAATCTCAAGACACTGGGGTGTTCCCACGATGGGATCGCCCTCAAGGGGTCCGAAGGAAGCCCACTCATTCTCGCCCGCACTCATTACGACGGCTAGACGGTCGGTTTCGTCCTGGTAAGAGACTACCATCTCTCCCTCTGGGCCGATGATTGCACTCAGCTTACTCTTTGGGCTGGTCGTAATGTTCCATTTGTCACCAAGTGGTGTCTCTTCCCACTCTTCCATATCCTCTTCGTATGCATAGCATCGCACAGAATTCTCCTGGTCAATGAAAATAACAAGGCGCTACAGACATACGGCATCGGGTTAGCAAGGCTACCAACGGTTCTGCGCGGGGGCGAGGCCTAACGTACAGACATTTGCTCAGAGCTTGGCAGATATGAAGCCGAAGTATCATTCCTTACGCCTGAAGCAATGACATTCTCGTCTTCTACCGCGTCGCCTACCCAATACTTCTCGACGAGGTCTCCGTCTTTCACACTTAGGACATAAATCCCTCCACCTTCATCATCTGGGAGCTTGATTGAACCAGCGGCAACGAGGGAACGAGCAAGATCTTGGACACTCATGACTAAAATCGTGGAATTGATGATGGATCTACACTGTCTTGTCTCAATACACTTCTCGCTGCTATAGTAATGTCTACGTATTTATAACCAGATTCACCACCCAGTCTCCAAATTGAGCCTCATGATTTCCTAAAAGAATATCACTCTATTAAGATAATGACGTTCGCGTGGGGGTATGTCTATTTACACACCAACTTTCATAATTGCCGAAGTAGCCAGCTGAAAAAGACCCCCACTGTTCCCTTTTAGGGAATATCGCGAAGCTGAACGTAGGACGCATGTAACGCAGGTATTACAAATGCTATACTGAGGCTCTTCTAGAGACTTCTTTGGGTAGGAATTGTTTACGGGCAGGAATTCCGTACGCAATGAATAGAAATGCGTAAAAAGTGTTGGCCGCCGGCTCAGTCGGGATTTGAAGTGAGCTATCGTGTATAGGGTCCCAAAACTAGCATTGGCTACGTGGGCGTCGTTGGGCATATATTTTTTCTTTTTTCATTAGGCTCAAAGTGCTCCATTCAACCCGAGTCGCCCGTCTTTGCTGACTCCTATGCAAGGAGAATCCTCCCCACGAGACGAGATATCAACCATTTGCGTCAATGTGACGTCCAGCTGCAAATACTCCAAGAGACGACAAAATCACAACCACGTGTACAACGAATGGAATCTGCATGGGGTTTCTTTTTATCGGCATCTGTCGACTCATTCATCAATCCTTCATACACCGAGATCAACGCCCAATGCTAAGGCATGGGTTACATCACCGTCTCACCTGGATAGCCTGCAGCCACAATAGGATCAATGATTGACATATAGCAATTTTATAGGTGTCTACGAATGTAGCAGAGTTTTACTAGGCGTTTAGTTGGAGATCGAAATTCATAGAGTCTGGAAGATGAGGCTCAAAATGAGGCTCAAAATGAGGGCAAGAGAGGTAAGAAAGGCAGGAATCGAGAATTTCACGACTTAGTCGGCTTGCGGCTCAGGAATCACGATGCGTATTTATATGACTGCTATTCAGCACTGCACTATGGCTTCAGGAGCAAAATAAAATTCCCATCTTCAAGTTCTCCAAGCACTTATATTCCGCTTTCTCCAAAATGTCTCTTCATAGTGACGCTGCAACTGGCGTCCTCACGCATGCAACGCTAAACAACTACTTAAATACTTGCAAAATCAACGAACCCAGCACTGAGAAGGGGAATGGTACCATCGGCCTAACACCCCTTGCATTGGCCGCGCGAAATGGACACGCTGATATTGTCAGGCTCCTTCTTGAGAAAGGGGCCATGGTGGATGCTCTCTCATCGCAGCTCCGTACACCGCTGTGGATTGTGACTGCGCGGGGACAGGGCGACAACCGAGCCGAGATAGTTCAGCTTTTGCTAAGATATGGGGCAGACCCGAAATACTCTCTCTCGACTCTCCAAAACGGCTCGACACCTCTCGAGAATGAGCTCAAGCAGCAAAAGGACCCTGATGTGATTCAGCTTCTCGTCCAGAATGGCGGTAAGACAGACAAAGTCACAAGCTTAGCAGCTAGTCTAGGAATACCTGAGATCAATGCTGTCATGGAACCCTCTAAACAGGGAGGCAATGTCCTCGAAACTATCGTTAGCCTTATACTCGCCGTCATACTATACATCTTCGGTTGGGTCCACAATGCAGCTCTTGCAGCCGGAAGCGTCTTGAAGAAGTATCCAATCAGTGGTCGCATGGATAGCATGGATAGCATGTATAGCTCAATGGTAAAGAAAGTACACGAGGTGCGACAACGCAGACAATCTATGAACCCCTATTTTGCCCTGCTCACAACCTAACTTTCTCTTATAGGAACTATCACCTCCAAAAACCAAGGAAGAGTTCAAGAAGAACATTGGCGACTTCGTGGCCAAGCACAAGTTGGGGAAGTTCTTCAGGGATGATAGCCAACAACTACTAGAAAGTATTGCCGCCAAGGCTGTTGAGCTACAAGGGGATGCTACCTCAGTCTTGGGTCAACCAGAGAATAGCGAGAACCTCATCAAGCTCGCTCTTTACCAGCCTGTCATCTATTGCGGTATGAACACGAGCCCTTCGAATTATCTATGGTTACGAGCTAACAGTATTTGCAGACGACAGTGGGTCAATGGACCCGATGCGCAACGACGATGGGGAAAACCGCATCGGAGATCAGCGGGATCTAGTTCGTCGAGTTGCCTCCATATGCACTAGGATAGTACCCGATGAGCTTGGTGTTCATCTTCGGTTTATAAACAACGAACCCGATAATAGTGACAACCTGAGGATAGACGAAATCCAGAACATCATGGATCAAGTCAGACCTCTAGGATGCACAGAGATCGGAACTCAGCTCCGCAACCGGATTCTTCAACCTCTCCTATATTCCCGGTACAATGAGAACGTTAAGAACCTAAAGCGACCGCTCTTCATTTCAATCATCACCGACGGAATCCCATTCGGTGGAAGCAGATCACCTGAGACGCGAAACACGCTCCGAGACGAAATCAAGAAATGCCAGGAGTATCTACTTGAAAACGGCCTTCCATCGCGAAGTAAGTTATTCATAACTCCATATTCGTAGACTCGTTGCTAACCTGCTTCGAAGCTGTGGTCTTCCAAATCAGTCAAATTGGTAGCGACAAGAACTCTAAAGAATTCCTGCAAAGCTTAAAGGAAGAGAATCTAGAGAATGTGTACATTACAGCACGTGAGTTACGCAAGTCAACTCTACGGTGAATGGCTCCTAACTTAAACTATTAGAACAACTCGACTCGAGGTTCCGAGAGCTCAGGGAGAACGAGAAGGATCTCGAGGCTTGGGTGAGAATCCGCACTAATATCCCTCTCCGAGTCTATCAAAAGGGGCTAACCGCATGACCTTCTAGCTGTTCGAAACCCTTCTCGAACCAATTCTAGACAAAAAGTCTAGTTAAGTTGCTAGTATTGAGTTTTAAATGAGAAGGCCTTGATAAAGGAGTTGCTTTAGGGGTTGGGGCTGGGGCCTAAGGAGATACAACGGTGGAGATGGGTTTGAGGATTTATTCGGCGATTAGCTTACGCACGTTCTTGCGATATTACCTTACGAAAGATTTCTTTTGTTACATAACGACTTTCGGTTTTTCTCGTTTCAACTTCAAGGAGGGCTCTATATTAGGTAGTTATTGTAGTAAATTTTCAAATTATAGCACCTACATTACTTGGTAGCAATGGAGGCATTCAATGGATTAGATTGCGCCATAACTTCCGCCCGCGTTCTGAAGTCTTTCCAGATATTTCATTCCCAAAACTCCAAGCAGTATATGACTGTCTGATTATTAGAACCAGGAATTCGTCGTCGCCTACTAGCCTCTTAACGCCGGGAAGCAATGGGGAGATATCGGGAGTGCTGTCGACAGGACCCCTGCCGTATTGTGGGTTGGAATCAAGTGCGAAGTCTGCACCGAGGGATTCAAAGCCATGCTTCTCAGAACATACTCGCCGTCTTCGATACAGACCACCCCTTCCACTGGGTATTGTTGAATAAATGGGGGGAATGTGTGACTTGTCGCAAGGATGCGCAGCGCCGCGGCAGGGTGGAAGTGATAAGATAGGACCTCGTGCGTTATCCGTGTCGGTTACGGCTATTCGACCGTTCCAGATTTGGCAGGCACTTCTATGACTGCTATGGTGATAATGGGGAATTGAGAAGGACTTCGTATAAATATTAAAACACACTGATATAAGGCTGTCGCCCATGGGATAACACGCAGACTCGCGGGCGGTTGCATCTAAACTCTGAGTAGCCGGAAATATAGCTTGCATTAGGCAATATCCGCCGTAAGAATCTACCTTTTCCCAGCGGAGGTTCGTAAAATCAAGGGACTCCATGGTAGATTCGGGACAGGTATTTCTGTCTAAATAATAAGTCTCTATAAGTACGCCGTTGCGGATTTCGTGTACTCGGAGCTGCTTCCTGGGAGCGGGGGTGAGGGTAATGACAAAGAAGACATTATCCTCGGTTGGAGAAATAATAAAATCCAGAAGCATTCCGCTTTGGACGAGGCGTGAGCCAGCATTATGAGAAGAGACAAGCTGGCCGGGAGTAAAGTCGTATATATGAGATGTACCAAGGGGTCCCTTAGTGTAACAGCCAGTTACGTCAATATGTTCGGGTTCTCGGTCAAATCTCCAAATAAAGAGTTCTGCATTCTTAGTAACGATAAGAACAGTCTCTCCTTCCGCAATACAGCGAACGAACTCCTCTGGGACTCTGGTGGAGTGGAGTCTATCCAGTTCGAGATGCCATGCGTGTAGAGTCCTTCCACGCCCCATGAGAAGCAGTTTACCACTCATGGCTGTCTTGAAACCCTGCTTTTCTCCTCGATGATTCGGAAATAAGTATGCCCGTCGCTTTCTCGTGCGTAGATCATCAACAACGGCGAAATAAGGGAGGACATACGCTTCGGGCCACCACGCTATTCGGCCATTATTGTACATCATAAAACGTGGGAAATAAGTACCAGGGTCAAATTCCAAATCATCCACATTCTCGTAACAATGTATGCCTCCTTCCAGCTCGGGGACGTCCTTGCTTAGCGTGAAGAAACGGTCGGAGCCCAAACACATCTCATGATGTAAGGCGGAGGCGAATCTGCCACTCACTCTTCTCTGAATTTTATGTAAAATGCGTCGGAACGTCTCGCCTAAATCTTGACCATCGGTGGCTGAACTGCGGATGTAGTCCTCCAAACCCGGGAACCACCGCTGAGCGAGCTTAGGCCATATTTCGTCGCTCAGCCAAACACCACGCCAATAACGGCATGCGCTGAGACCCGCGTCTATGTCTTTTGGCTCGAGATAGATAATAATTATAGCATGCATCTCAAAGGGAAGGCGACTAACGATATCGAGCTTCATGTTTCTTGAGCTTGAAGACGATGTACGCGTACTTCCCGAGTGCCGCAGTTGTGTTAAGAGCGACTTCATGATGTCTTAGCCTCAAAACATGGATCCTAACCAATAAGAGAGGATGTTGGCATTCCCACGAATACCCTGTGGTATATCGATATTGATGATCTTATTGTCGATCAATATTAATGCATGTATAATAGATGGTAACCTGGCTCTCCGATTATGGCGACTGGACTACTATATCTAGGGTAGGTAAGCAGTCTACTGAAAAAAGAAGAATAAACGGTGAAGAGCTGTTGGTTACAGAGCGAAAGTTAATAAAATCAATGGTACCTCAGCTTACTACTCTAAAAATACATGTGAAGTACATGCATTGGTCGAATAAGGATTTTGGAGAAAAGGGGGGCAGCTCGAGTTACACACATCTTATCGTACACTGCAGTACATAGTGCACTGTGCACAGTAACAAGAGGTACCTAAACAGTGTAGCATGTCAGCCCCGAAGATCTCCCGGTACCTGACTCTTTAAGTTATTTGGTGCATAACTGGAGTCATTTAATTCTTGTCATTTTCAACCAAATATATATGAATCTTTTCGCCGTCAATCAGTAATCTCGATTGACTGGAATAACAAACACCCTTTGTCGACGCGACATCAGAAGACGACTTAGCGTTGGTTTAGTTCGCTGTTCGCATTCTTGCAGTACGCAATGCCAAGACAACAAACAGACGCGAAAAGAGCCAGTAGAGTGCAGTACGCTCAGTGCATCAGCCCTTCGTCAGCTTAGTGCTTCACTTTTAAACACGGGAAAAAAAAGATATATATCGGAAGACTGACCAATTGCTACCGGCCGTATTAGAAAGATCTCGTTAAACTCAACCACGTTACCTACGCGTAAACTAGCCGAGTGGTTACAAGGTAATCCCAGTCAGTACCTTAGGTACCTACTCATAAAGAATACAGACCAAGATCATCAGAACCCAAGTTAAAGGAGTATGCGGCTGATTACAATCTGGAGAACTCGACCTCGAGCTTCAAGGGTCTAGGCCGTCTTAGTTTCACCAAGTCTACAGCTCTAAACAAAACCAAACCCACCACTTAATCTTGATTCAACGCCGCTATTCAGCACGTCTAGCTCTTTTAGATCAAGTTGATCGACTCAGTCTCAGCTGAAGCGAACTCTAAGACATTTTCGGCAAAAATGATGCGCGGCCGCGATACATTCCAGCCTCACCTATCGACCCTTTCCTTGGTCTCGATCGCTCTCATTTCCTAAGCTTTTCTAAGCTATTAATCATGACTTCTTCTATGTGGCTACCGTGCCTATCCAGGACCCTTAGTTGGCGTCAAGCGCCAAAGTGATTAGCTACTAATACTTGTCATGCCCAGCTTGCGTCTATTCAGTCTCTTTTTGTAGGTGATGCGTTTCGTTTTTACACATCCTTCGGCCTTCAGTGTTAGATAGCGCTGTCCAATTGAATATGCGTTTCCTAGCGGCCGTTCTACTTCTGCCGACTATTCTGGGAGAGAAGCTAGTTATCCCAGAGGTACAAAGTGCAGTGAGCGCGCAGCTAGCAGAATTCGGTGGGTATACAAGCGAATATGGTTCGGCCGTAGTCAGTGATGTCTCGCCGGTGAGCTCAAGCTCCGAAGTAAGGAAAACCGAAGAGCGAGCCACTAGCACCTACTGGTATGAGACGATCTCTCATCAAGGCATATCAGCCTTCAATTCCAACCCTGCGACTTACAAGGTCTACCGCAATGTTAAGGATTATGGTGCCAAAGGGTATGCGTAACTTACCCCCTTAAATGAAGCACTAATAGGAAGGACAGAGACGGCAAAACCGACGATACAGCCGCTATCAATAGGGCAATCAGCGATGGCAATAGGTGCTCTCCAGGATCATGCTCTTCGTCTAGCACAACCAACGCCGTTGTCTACGTGCCCGCAGGGACCTATGTGGTTTCTTCTTCGATTGTCAGCTACTATGCAACCAATCTTATCGGCAACCCGAACAACATGCCTGTCTTGAAAGCGACGTCCGGATTTTCTGGATTCGGTGTCATAGACGGTGCTAAGTACCAGGACGGCGGAGCTTTACCTTACGGAGCGACGAATATCTTCTGGCGCCAGGTCAGAAACTTTGTCATTGACCTGACGGCTATTCCAGCAGCAACTGAGGCGACGGGAATCCATTGGCCTACGGCGCAGGCGACCAGTTTACAGAATATCGTATTCAAGATGTCTAGCATTGCGGGTACCAAACACCAAGGAGCCTTCATCGAGTCAGGCTCTGGAGGTATCTTAAACGATCTTGTGTTTAACGGCGGTTTGTATGGGGCCGTATTTGGAAACCAACAGTTTACCGTACGAAACCTCACATTCAACAACGCAGTTACTGCTATCTACCAGCTCTGGGATTGGGGTTGGACCTATAAGAGCATATCTGTCAGGTATGTACCAATCGATTGATCCCCTTTCCTCTTTGATTTCACCCATTTTATTTTTACATCTACTAACGAAAGAACAGTAAGTACCTACCCAAGCCCTTGTTGAACCCACGTCCGCTGCAGACCTTTTCAAAGTGGCATACTAAACGGAAATAGCATTCCATTCTTATGTCCTGATCATGTGAATATATAGGGCTAATATGATGTAGATAACTGTACGGTTGGCCTTGATATGGCTACCCGCGACACGAGCGGCGAAACTGTGGGATCTGTCACCTTCTTTGATAGCTCGTTTACAAACACGAAAATCGCATTTAATATCTCGCGATCCGCAAAGTCCCAGCCGACAACAGGTGGTAGTCTTGCAATTGAGAACGTCTCCCTGAAGAATGTACCGACCGCTATCCAATACGGCCCAACCAAAAGCACCCTGCTTGCGGGTACCACAGGGTCGACGACCATCGCCAGTTGGGTGAGCGGCAATGTGTATAATCCCACCGGCCCTAAGACAACAGCTGGTTCTATCGCTCCTCCTACCCGCCCGGCTGCTCTCGTGAGCAATGGCAAATTCTACGAGCGGTCGAAACCATCATATGCCAATCTCGCCTCGTCATCATTCTCTTCCGTCCGAACCGGTGGCGCTAAGGGCGATGGTACGACCGATGATACTGCAGCTCTACAACGTGTCATAACCGCGGCCGCTAGTGCCGGTCGTGTTGTTTACTTCGATGCCGGGACTTACAAAGTAACTAAGACCTTACTTATTCCAGCCGGCAGTAAAATCGTCGGCGAAGGCTACCCCGTCGTTATGTCCAGCGGGTCCTATTTCAGTAACGTCAACTTTCCACAAGTTGTAGTACAGATTGGTAACGCTGGCGATACCGGGACAGTAGAGTGGAGTGATATGATCGTGTCTACACAGGGCGCCCAAGCTGGTGCGATTCTCGTCCGGTGGAATATCGCATCGCCAGCCGGCTCGCCGAGCGGAATGTGGGATGTCCACACCCGAATCGGAGGTACCACAGGCTCCAATCTCTCTTTGGCCAATTGCCCGTCAACACCATCATCCACAACCGTCAATAGCCAATGCGTCTCAGGCTATATGTCTATGCACATATCAAAATCAGCCTCAGGAATCTACGCCGAAAACGTATGGCTATGGGTTGCAGACCACGATGTAGACAACAGCGCACTAACGCAGATCAAAGTCTATGCTGGCCGAGGCCTGCTGGTTGAGTCAACGGTTGGAACAGTCTGGCTTGTGGGCACCAGCATTGAGCACCACGTGCGATACCAGTACCAGTTCAGCAAAACGCAGAACATTTTCGCCGGTCAAATCCAAAGCGAAACACCATACTACCAGCCCAATCCAGGTGCGCGACAGCCGTTCCCCCTGAACTTGACCATCGACGACCCGAACTTCGATATCCTATGCCCGCAAGGCTCATCGCCGAGCACCTGCTCTGAATCATGGGGGCTTCGTATTAGCGCCAGCAAGGGCGTTCTCGTATATGGTGCCGGGTGAGTCAATTTCTTCAGCCTCGCAGCATGAAACTCCAACTTGGTTGTTGCAGTTAGCTAACTTGCCACAGCTTATATTCGTTCTTTAACAACTTTAGCACGGCCTGCTCTGCTAAGGGTGCTAGCTCGCTATGCCAGACCGGAATCGTTCAGTACGACTCGGCAAGTACCAAGGGATTCTGGATTTACGGCCTGAATACCGTTGGTGCTTATGGGATGGTTTATAGGGATACCAGCAAGCTCGCGGACTATTCGCAAAACGTTAACGTGTTCCCAAGCAGTATCATCGTATTTAACAGTAATAACTAATGATGCATATGGTAAGATACAGTGTACAGAATATGTACTACTATTAAAATACATCCCCTTACCCTGTGAAAGGGTCCGGGATGTGTCTAATCTAAACTAGTACCTGATATATCCAGAAAGACAACAGCATATACAACAATCTCATTTACTAAAACTAGGTAGCTACCTACCTACTTACTACAAGCATACTAGAAGCAATAGAAGAAAGAACCCATTTACCTAACAGCATAATGATTTATGAACAATGATATTGACTTATCACAACGCCTTTGATAATTACATTGTTTAGGGAGTCGTTCATTGTACAATTTCAAATGTTACCTATGAACCAGTCATCTATTTAGACAAAGGCAGAATGTATCTGGCTCAGAGATATATTGCGCCATACTATTGTGTATTTTAGACCATCTCCCCTTAATCATCGGCCATCCAAGTTCCAAGATTGCAAGCATTTTCACATCTAATTATCTCGAAAAGACTATTTATCTGAGGTAGGTTAGTAAGGTTTCTAGGAAGTTATTAAGCCATACCTTACGATTCAAGATGTCAACCTCGGAGAATTTCGATAGGGATATCGAGATGGAATTGATTTCAGACTATTTACGGTCGACTGGCGGTGGACAATCAATTAACGACGACGGACAATCGGCCTACGATGCGTCTTCCACACAGCAATTGAATCTTCCTTCGTTCGTGACACCGTTGGAGATAGAACAATTCCCTGGCATGGATGCTCTGTATCCCCCAACGCCGCGTAAGTTCTCCATGCCTGCTATGCCAGCGCCCAACAATCCTTCTAATCTACCGCAGGACCCATCAGCCTCGGATAGTCTTCTGCAAGATGAAGACGAGCAAGAGGTGGGTCCTAAAACGCGCAAAGTAAGAAGGAATATTCGGAAGGCCAACGGCGACGAGGCGTGTACTCTGGAGGAGTTTTGGTATGAGGAAGGCAAGGAGTGGAAGGTCAGTCCGAAGAAGGGTGAGCGCACGGCAAACGGCACAAGAAAAAGAACAACGAAAGGCATGGAGGGTTTACAATCAGGACCAGAATGCTACGCTTGCGGCAACAAGCTACAGTACAAGAACATTATGAATAATCGTCCTTGCGACGTATGCGGCTGTTTCAATTAGTCACGCCTAACTAATAGTTACCTAGGTATGGCCAACGAGTTATTACGGCTTAAGACAGTAAAATCATATACCTACCATAGAGGTAACTACCTACCTACCTTAGGTAGGTAGCGTAATATAACTAACCCCTTTTTTCACTTTACCTACCTAGGTAGGTAGGTACCTATTGTTTTGGTTGCCATATTGACATGTGCCTGTTTCTATACATGACTCCCCTATAAAATCCAATGTGCTAAAACTTACTATGTGATGCCTTTATGAATCACCCCATGTACGTCCTTGAACTACTCGAATACCGATTTTCCATATAATATCCTTATACCGCAAAGTCAATAAGCTAGGCAAGATACGATGAAGTAAACAATTCGTATCATGGCTCATAACTTAGATCCTGCGCCATCTTAAACGGCCAATATGCAATGTTAAACCACCTCTTTCCGTCGAAGTATATGTTCAACCACCGGCCATCCATATCCATGAATAACAGCACACCACGTGCCAGCCCGCCGCGATACTGCGCGAAAGCTTCGGTGCCAGATAGCAGATCATGCATAAGATCATGTATACGCTGGTTCTCGATCCGGTTTTCTTGCGACGGTACTTCTTCAAAGAGAACAACTTGACAGAGGATGAAGGATCCCCCCGGAACGTCAGGATCAGGCGTGACCATCAATCGGGCCTCAAGTTCATCATCCCTCCACTGGTCCAGCCGTAGATGGGCATCGTATTCCAGAGCGGCGCCTGAGTACCTCTCAAGCAGTGAGCGCCCTGTATCCCAGTAGCGTTGGAGCCTAGTGGCCGCGTCCGGCGCATTAGAGACATGATTGATAGTCTGCATAGCGAGCTCTGATCTTTTTTCAAGGCTCAGGGATGTATCTGTCACCAGCAAGCCAATCGCTATAACTATAGTGCCGTATATCTCTGCGTGCAAGATTTTGGACAGTGGCTGGCGGTTTCTTGAGCCATATTGCCGATACGCTGTCCTCGACGTGAAAAAGGAGGTGTGAGATTGCGGACGTGGCCATCGTCTAGAGATGTTGGTGGTGGCCGGGCTACGTAGCCCCGGCCAAAGTCGTCGAAACATCAAGGGGCTCTAGATACTACCTCTCATAATTTAAAAGGGAGGTATATAACACGAACGAACATACGGTAGACACGAGCGATGCAAAGATTTAAGACGCGCTGAAGTGAGATCTTTTAGGGGGTTCTCAAGATTTCAGGTTAGTGGTATCAATGGTTTGTGTGCCCTCTAAAATTTGGAGGGGATAAGAAGCCCTTTGCTGTAAAAAGCAAAAGAGATGACTACCTCCCAATTATGGAAACATGAATGGAAACGTGATAGTTTCAACTTACGATTCGTCAAGTTAAGCGATATGCTATGCTGTGTAACGTACTTACGTGGCGAGGTATCCTGGCAAGATTGATTCATCCTTTGACCAACAGCTAATTGTTGATTAAAACTAGCTGAAGTATTTATTTAGTTGAATAAATAGATATAAGAGACAAGTTGACTTGAAGCAAAAAAATTTAAGACTACCTTAGGTATGTATTTATAAGATGGAGTTGGGAAGGTTGTATGTAGATGTACATACCTAGGTACCTCATTACCTAATATACCATTGACGTCACCCCCGTATTGCGAATTACACTACGAATTACAGTGGCCGATCAATCACCTGATTATTCGATTCGGATGTTATTCTTATCGGGGACCGGCCGACAATTAGACCACCACTTTCTTTTTACTCAAAACATCCCATTACACCTTCATCAACTTACAATAATCATCTGTCCACATCCGCCTCCCAACTTACAGAAAATGGCCGACAACAAGTCACAAGACAAGACCGTAGTCACTTCCGGAGACGAGACCAAGAAGATGGACCCAGTCTCGGAGAATACAGCCCAAACGGACTCCGGCGACAACAAGACGGAGAATGCCGCCACGTCCGATTCGAGCTCCACTTCGCAGTCGAGACCGACCAGACATTTGCCCACCCACTACAAGGGAATGCCGAAGCAGTGGGAGAAGAATCAAGGTAAGCACCGGCCTGAGCACGTTCCGCCAAGAACCGACCAGAGAGCATATTCGCTGTTCCAACTCCGTAAGGTTAACCAAATAATAGTTCCTAAGAAGGATACCCAAGACTCTTAACATCTGTTCGTGATTGAGAGGATAACCACGGTGTTTTAGTGTAACCATAACAGGTACTCATAGTTTATATCAAAATTAGTCTTCCATATATCGAAATCGTCTCAATTGTGGCCCTTGGTAAACCAGGACTTCCTTCCTCCAATTAATCCGACATGTATTTAATATCTAACCTGCGTCGACTATACGAAGTAAATAGTCGGAAGTTGCTTACAACTTAGCTAAACTAAGTTCGGAACAGTTTTTACATAAAACCATTGTTATATTTTACAAAAGTTAACAAGCAAAATAAAGTAAGTTTTACAAAGCTTAAAAAATGGTCGAAAAAAAAAAAAGATTTCGAATTATTTAAATACTAAATTATTTAACTTTTACCCGACTTTTAAAAGGGTTATTATGTTAGGCCAAATTAAAAATATTTCCTAATTAAACAATTTGTCTGTGTACCCACTAGTGCCTTTTAATTATGGGTCCCAAGTATTGTAATAGGCTAAAATATGGGGTTAAGGTTTTAGCTGCATGACTAGTGTTAAGCTAATTTTAATTTGGAAATTTTAAGTGGTACGTACTTTTAAAACCGAGGGCCCCCCGTGTGGGAGACCACAATAGCCCGACTTTTAGCAAGGCTTATGTCATCCCCTTATGTCATTTCTTCCGAAATTTAGCCGCTCATTCCACTGAGGTCACGTGCCGCCACGCCGGGCCGCGCGGGGGGGGGCGCTCGGCCCTCGCTTCGCGAGGGCCTCGCACCCCCCCCTCGCGCGGCCCGGCAGCGGCGGCACAATGCTCTAGCTATTCTAGGCTATCTTTCATTAGGGTCTTTCTTTATAAATTTTAAAAAAAGGATTGAAAAGAAAAACGTGTGGGATTCGAACCTGGCTTCCTGTAAAAGTTATGTGGTGTTGTCCCGAAAGGGTTTAGTTTTGCACTTAAGAACATGTGACCTGTATGTGGCCTTGTATTGGCATATGGCCACCTAATGTGATTGGTTAAATT